GTACTACTTCTATATATACTACTTACTATATATAGTACTATACTACGTATACGTACTACACACACACACACACACACACACACACACAACACACACACACACACACACACACACTATATATATATACACACACACACACACACACACACACACACACACACACACACACACACACACACACACACACCGCGCGCGCGCGCGTCTACACTACCGTATCATACACATATATGTATATATACACATATACATACACACGTACGCACACTTACACAGCCTGCTGCAGCTTCTTCCAGAACGTAGACCTGCCGTCCGGGTTGGTTGAGTTACGCATTGCCATCCTCTTCGCTAGACCGTTAAACGTCATCTTCTTCGGACGCAGAGCATCTCCCTCTGCTGGCTGCTTCATTGCATCCTCCTCTTGCTTGGCCATGACGTCAGACGAGCCGGGTATCGGCCGCTCGTCAGCGTCGGCCGCGAGAGTTCGGTCGTCGCCCGTCAGGTCGTCGGCGACGTCCGTCAACTTGCTGTCGTCGTCGCGCGTCGGCGATTCGTCCTTGTCCGACGCCGCGACAAGGTTGTGTTCGATGACGACGTCGGTTCGGTGGATATTGCTGTTGTTCACTCGCAGGCGGTTCGGTGCACAGAGGGCCCCCGTAACGGGAGCGGCGCGTGCCGGACTGCTCTGCTGCTGCTGCTGCTGCTGCTGCTGCTGCTGCTGTGATAGCGAGGAGACAACAGTGGTGATAGCAGCAGCGGCGGGGGTGGTTACCCGCTAGAGAGTGGCAAGGGGTGCGGCGAAGCGACGAGCGCGCCCCTGGTGGTCATCATCATCATGATCGGCGATGCGTAGAGCTGGGTTAGTAGTCCGTCGTCGTCGGCGTCGGCGTGTGTGCGGCGGCGGAAAGAAGGACTGATCAGCGCTGCTCGTCATGCGCTCGGCGCAGCCGCTTGTAGTCTGCAGCGATCGTTCGATTATTCCTGCTAAGGCAAATATTGACGCGCGATGCAGATATATACGGAAGAGACGTTGATGCAGACGCAAGCTTGGCGACGAGCGAGCGAGCGATGACGATTTGAGTGGAGACGCGAGCGCGTCTTTCGCAGAACAAAATTTACAGCGGCACTTGTTCGAATTGCTAACGCGCGCGCGCATTAAGCGGTTGTGAGAGTGCACAGCAGCAGTAACCCCGGCAAAGACGTGCTTCGATCACCGCGCGGTATGTCGCAGAAATAACAACCTTACTGTCGCATCAAATCACCGAGGTTACTCAACGTTAAAGAGAAACTTTTGATATGTACCTAATTTGACAGCAGGCTTTCTACTATCAACAAGCTGCCTGCCTGATTCTTTTCCCCGCGACAGATTAGGAGTTCTCTCGTGTCAGCCGCGTCGTGGCATTGACATATGCGCAAAAATTCAACTGAGCGAATCCCGCACGCGTCATCTAACTTATTCTAATGCTGAATCTAATAATGCTGACCATCTAACGGCAATAACCTGCTGGTATAACTGCTGGTCTGCTGGTAAGGCTATCTTGAACAAGCTGCGCTCTCAAAGTGATGATCAGAGTAGTCAACGCACGGCCTCTGAAACACTCATATATGATTGGAAAGTCGGCAAATAAAGTGCGGCGACACGAAGCGCATTCTTACACGTCAATCACGTACGAAAGTGATCGAGAAGCGTCTCAAAATTATAGCCATAATGTCGCGAGATGACACTGCAATCATAGCGACACAGAGGCGAACGCCGCGCGCGCTCGGTTTCCTCGCAAACACCTGCGAATCGCGCTGACTATACTCGCGAACGTACGCTGCACCGCTTTCACGTCAGTACAGAGCAAGGTATCCCGCGCACGCACGCTGCATCTATCCGTCCTCTTCATATCACCGGCAATGTATCGACGGAATTACATTCCCGGTACACTCACAGTGCACTGATAGTACTGCACGGGATTCGATCACAAGGAGCATTTGTTGACATTGTCACTCATCCGCGGAAAAGGGCAATTTAAATTCGAACGCTCTCTCCACGATTACGATGAGTCATCGCTACGCTATTTAACTAGAAGCATTCGCGGAAGCAAACGCCTCCCCTAACATTACGGAGCTAGTGAGCTCACGCATGCGCGGAAGTATAGCCATCAGGCCCGTAGCCAGCTTTCTATTGGGGGGAGGGGGGTTCGTTTTTCAATGTTGGCAATTTGCTCGGCAGGGGCGTGTACAGGCAATTGCTACCAGGTGGGGTCAACCGTAACCAAAGTGCGAGCGATCCGAAGGAGGGTGTCATTGGGGGCCCTCCCACAGAATATGTTTTTAAAATAGACCTTCTCAGATGCGGTTTCTGCGCCGAGCAAGGCCGCGCCGGTTCCCGACTCCCTGGACCCCAAAACACGCCCCCGTCTTCGGGGCGCGAAGCGACCAGGCCCCGAGGGAGCGTCAAGCGACCGGCGGGAGGGGGAGGGCTGCGTGGGAGGGGATGTTCATTGTGTCACCCCTCCCCGCACGACTGGAGATTGTTTGCCAATTATTTACACTAAAAAATGAAGGCGACCGGCAGAGTCGAAATTCTTTCAGAATTATTATTTTTTTGCTTGGTGGGCCGTGGGGGGGGAGGCGTGCTCGCGGCGGGGGGTTGCGTTCAACCCCGCCGAACCCCCGCTGGCTACGCGTCCTGGTCCATCATGAAATCAGAACGTTTTCCTGACACGCAAGAGCTCTGCTGACCCGACGCATCTGATAGTTTCACGGCAGCCTATATATATATATATATATATAATATATTATAAATTGATTGATTCCGTGGGGGTGTGTGTGTGTGTGTGTGTGTGTGTCGTGTGTTGTGTGTGGTGTGTGTGTGTGTGTGTGTGGGTGTATGTCTGCTATGTGTGTTTGTCTACATGCGCGGTCGTTACGTAAAGCACATTACATTCCCTTTGGCACACCCGACTTCGATGATGCATGTGATGATGTGCGCATGCCGTGCCACATGCCTGATCAACCTTAGGCACGTACGACTGTAAACGAACGGTGTAATTGAATTTTGTCCAGGTCATTATCTCGCCGAATTCACTCGCAGCTGCGTGGGCACGAGAAGCAAAATAAGTTGCTGTGAAGCACGCCAGGCTCAGCAAATTACACCTCGCGAGATCACTAGAGATTAAGGAATCACCGGAGTCCACCGGCCGGTTCGAACACGGCGAGTCTCCAACAGGCAAATAACAAATGCGAGACCAGAAAACAACAGACGATGCGAAGGTGTGGAGAGCAGGAATACACAGCCAAACGCGCAGCAAACACGCTCAGCCAACATCAGTCAACACAGCGCGCCAGCACGTGCAGCAACACGCCAGCAACACCGCAGTCAACGCCGCAGCAGACCACACGCGCAGCAAAGCACCGCAGAACACGCTGCCACCGCGCGAGCAACGCGCACAGCACACACGCGCAATCAACCCGCCGCACGCGCACAACCACCAGCAACAGCGCAGCAACTCGCAGCAACACGCAGCACACGCGAGTCGAGAGTCGCCCAGCAAACCACCAGGCAACACCTACGCGCACAAACTACGCAGCAACACGCAGAATCACGCCAAACAACGCGCGCAACACGTAGCAACACGCAGCAACAACACGCGCAGCAACCCGCATCAACGCGACAGCAACACACGCGCAGCAACACGCAGCAACGCGCGAGCTACACGCAGCAAGCACGCAGCTAACTCGCAGCAACACGGTCAGCAACACACGCGCAGCAACACGCAGCAACCACGCGGCAACACGTAGCAACACGCAAGCAAACAGCGGCATAACAACCAACAACGCGCAAGCAACACGATAGGCACAACACGCACAACTACGCACAACGCCGCCAACACCCGCAGCAACGCGCCAGCAACACGCAGAAACACGGCAGCAACGCGCAGCAACGCGCAGCAACGACCAGACCAGCAACACCGCGTAGCAACACGCAGCAACACCCGCAGCAACACAGCAGCGCACAGCGTACTGAGACACGAGCACCCGCATAGCACAACACGCGAAGACAAACACGCAACAACGCCGCACCAACGCGCAGCAAACGCCAGCAACGCGTTCAGCAACGCGCAGCAACACGCAGGAAACACGTCAGCAACACGCCCAGCACACAGCAGCACACGCGCGACATAATATGCGGCTAAATACGTGCGCGAACCAAGTTAACGAACCACTGCGAAGATCACATCAACGCTTTCTTAACACACGCTCCCTAACAAGAGTTTACCAACCACTTTGAATGCCAAACGAAAACAGCCTTATACAAACGCTTCCAAAAACACTCTATCCAACCAGTCGTAATACAAACGAACACTAGACTATACCAACGCTTCCAAAAACAACTCTATACAAACCACGTGAATACAAACGAAACACTAGACGTATTACCAACGGCTTCAAATAACACCGACGAACAACGACTCGACTGGTATGTGCGGACGACATCTGCCATGACCCCCGTACCACGGGCCGTGAAGCTAACGCCGCCCACATCACACACCCAACTTGCTGCCTGCGTGGAAATCCACCACGGTCGACACTCCGCTATGGGCGCGACGTAGCGACGTATAAAACTCGCATAGCGCACGAAGATTCAGCACAGCCGATCACAGCTGATGGCTGCAGATCCGATGACGGGACTGCGGCGGAACCCGAAACGCAACGCACGCACGGCACGCACGGCACATACATCACCAGAGACACTACACACACGCGTCGGCGCAAGCGCGACCGCACGCCCGCACGCACAACGGCACACACAACCTATATTATATTTATATTTATATCACGAAATTACCAAGCAACCGCGGTAAGGTATATGGGCCTAGCTCAAGCCCATGTTTTGTTTAGCGCTTCATTCAGCCCACGCAGCGTTTATAAATGTAATTTGTGCCTTGGCAAACATTGAGATTGATCAATCATTTCTACAAGACACATATCTCATCTGCGTCCGAAGAACCCTCAATCGTTTCATCTCACTGACACCCGGGCGCTGGTTTGTCGTGCAAGAACACAGCACATATTCCGGACTATATATATATTATATATTATATAGATATATAATAGATATGTGATTGTGTGTGTGTGTATACATCCTTTACTTGCATCTTAACAATTACGCACACACAACTGACCTACTGAACCGGAAGAAACGCAAAAACAACGAGGGGAAGAATGTTATGAAGGTGTCGATGCATGGGGTATGAGGCTGCGTTAGCTGGAACCGCAGCTAGCTCGACTCTGCATCTGGGCCACACTGATCAGCATTCGGTTGCCTCTTGTTCGCTGTCAGATGCGTGCCTGGATGATATGAATGCACCTTCGCTCTATCTGTGTTATATGAGGTTGCAGTGTGTATACCGCGCCGGCCGGCGCTGCGCCGCGCAGCCGGCTAGTGCCCATCGACGAGTCATCGTAATTACCAGACCCGCCGTTGCGTCGCAGCGGGATGCCGACCGGCGAGCATGACAGCGAATCCATCCTGCACTCGCCCCACGGATTTCGCCGCTACGCCTCAGTCCAACGCTGTATCCAGCAAGATCCCGAAACTCCAGCCGCCGTCACGTGGGCCACAGAGAGCCATCAGCAGCGTCCCCAGCCGGTGGGGCGCGGGGGCCGCGTGTGTGTGGCGTGTGTGGAGTGTGTGTGTGTGTGTGTGGCTGTGT